GTGACCCTGTAGCTCAGAGCTCATGCTCTTAACCAAACTCTTAACCAACTGAGCCACTCAGCCAGCCCTAAAACATTTCATTTTTGAATAGCACAGACAGTCACTTTCTAACCCTTTAGTGTGGCATGTAAGACCTTCTGTTCTTATTCAAACCTCTCTTTCTGACCACACTTACTACTCCTTTCTTCCTAAATTTCCCCAGGGCTCGAGCTTTACTGAATCCATTCTGCTCATGGATTCTTCTGAACCTTAACACTTGCTGTTTCCTTTGCCTGGAACTAGTTTCACTGCATCTTACTTGCTTTTCAAAATTCAGCACTCATTTCATCTCTTCGGCTAATCCTATGACCAGTGGCCTCAGGCAGAGTGAGTCAGCCGCTTTATTCCTTGGCACATCAAATTGTTCTCTTCTTGCTTGCTAGATAGATTCTTCTAGATGGGAGAGTTCTTAAGGTCAGACTTTATCTTATTTGTCTATTTATCCTCTTGAGTTCAACACGAGGCTTACTGCTCTGCATAATTATTCACTGAATCAAAAATAAGGTATTTAAAAGCTCAGGTAGCCAAGTTGATGGTGATAATATACTATAACTGAAACACAGGAACAGATTTGGGTTTTGAGCATGTTGAATTTGAGGTATCTTTGTAACATTTAGGAAATGTTCAGGAGATATTTGAAAATAGGCAGAAACAGGAAAAACAGGTCTGAAAAAATGTTGCTAGTACATACGTGATACTACAAATCATGGAAGTTGCTGAGATCTCATGTAGACTGAGAACAGAAGACATGAGAAGATAGTTGCAGAGAACAAAAGAAATGAAACTGATAGCAGTTAATTTTCTTCCTCTTTAGTAGGATGTAATGGCCTGGAAAAAAATTTAGGGGAACAGATGTTATTATTTTTTTAAAAAGATCATTTGTATGTGTGTATTTCTTTAAAAAATAGGATTAATACATATTTTTAAGAATGAAAAAAAAATCTATGTTTTTATATAGTATTGATTCCTGGCCTTTACCATCCTAAAATGGTTTCTATCTGTGTAAAAGAAAAATTTTAATGTAAAACTGGCTGCAATATCAAATTATTGTCATTTGTGTTTATTGAGATTAAACGATTCCTATTTCTTTCAAGGGCAAGAATGTAATATATTTTTGCCTCTGGGGAGGGGGAAATGATCATTTTCATAAGAGAAGGAAGGATTCCGTGCTTTCTTTGCTTGTGGGTTTCCTCTTGTTCACTTTTGATCTAGATATTGGTGGTTATGTTCCAGTCCTCCTGCATATGCCCGAGAGGATTGGGAGTGGAGTGGACACCAGCAGAAGCACCATTTTTTCCTGTAGAGATTAGAAACAAAGAGCTTATTGCCCTGCTTATCAAGGCTCAGGACAGAGAGGAGGAAGAAACAAGTATAAAGGTTTTGGTTTTGGAAAGAAGTTGGAATCTTCCTGACCCTGGGACCTTAAGATCCACAAAATTGCTGAGAGAAAAAGTACTACCTTATTGAAAGGTAAGCTATTAAACTGTTTTAAGGTTTAAGCTATGTAAGCCACAGTAGCATACTTTCATAAGCTGTGAAATCAAGCAATCATTTCCGCTAAGCTGACGTTTTTGTGACATAATCACTCAGCCAGCCTTCCTAGTGAGATGGAGACCCGTGTGGCTGGAGAGATGGTTCAAGTGAGGCAGAGCCTTTACAAAATTTTACTCATGTTTGAAATGACATTTACTGAATGCCAGGCATTGTGCTAGGCCTTGGATATACAGAGATTAATGAGTCACCCTACTTATCTTCTAGAAGTTCTCATTAAAGGAAAAGAAAAAAATGATGATTACAATGTGATAAGTGCTATAATCAATAGGTAATATGTGTAATTAGGGTGGTCTAACTATCTGAAGCAGTAACATTTGTGTCCTAAAGAATTAATTGGAGCTCACGAAGTTGAAAGAAAGGGATGGGCATTGGAGTTAGAAAGAATTCTGTGTTCAAAGACAGGTAGGAGAGGGCATGCTGTATTGGAAGATCACACTAAATGCCAGAAATTACTGTCTGAATGCTGTAGACAAAAGGGGAGAGTGATGACATGTTGCTAGGTAAGATAGGGCCAATGATGGAGGGGCCTTGTTGGTTGCCAAGGAAATTTTCACTTACCCTGTTGGCCATGGGGAAGCATGGGAGATTAAAAAAAAACAAACAGTTGTGGGACTACCTTAGTTCCAAGATGGGGGGGAGAAAAAATAAATACATGGTGTTTAAGTGTGTATCTGTAGCTTTCTAATTGGGTTTCAGTCTCTGTTCCTTTCTTTTTTGCTAATATTCCTGGTATCCTTGTGTTCTTACTAGGTTGAGTCTAAACTTTGTAGGTCACTAACGAGTAGGATTTTGACTTAGACTGTTGAGAGCTCCTAACTCTTCAATTTGTGCCAACCTTGAACACCTTCTAAAGTGTTTTATGCATGCCTGTGCCTAAAACTATTTTCTTCATTCCGGAGGGAAAGCTATAAACCCGAGTAAGGATTCTTTCTGGCTGGTTAAATGTTATAACAAGGAGGAGGCCAACCTTCTTGTCTTTAATCATGACCAAACAAGGTCATAAATTTACAGTGACCCCAAGGAAAAGAAAACCATCCTAAGAGAAGTCAGACTTGACCCTGAAGCCTTCTGCAGGAATTAGGCAGTTGGAAGATTCATTAATGGGCTCTGATAAGACTCTCTAGGCTTGGTTGCAGTAGAAAGGCCAGACACAAGGTGTAGATTTTGGACTTGCTGTTTGCTGGGGTATTACTTGATCGTTCAGGTAGAGGAACTCAAGACTTGATGAAGTCACAAATCTAGGGACCAGTGAGAAGATGGTGACCCTGGGGTAAGATCTGGCTGAAATGTCTGAGGAGGGATATCTGCATTCTGTGGACTGTGACCTTCACTAAGATAAGAGAACAAAGAAGACAGGATAGCCATTCACTAGCAGTGACGCTGAAAGATCCTGCTGTATGCTTCAACCAGGAGTATCGTCAGGCTGGGGCAAGGGCTCTGAATAGACAGCGATGCCCGAGGTGTGAAGGAATCTCATCTCAGTGTGGCAGTCCGTTTCAAAACTACCTGGAATCTAGTGGGAGCAAGGAGAAGAATAATGTTTGAAGAAATACATTTTAAAAGGTATCTGCCAAGATTGGGAGGCTGAGTTAAAAGTCAAGATTTCAGGCCAAAGCAGAGTATTTCTATAAAATTAGCCCCAAGAGCAAAAACTGGAGGGAGAATGGAAAAATTCTCAAAGGACATCTTGAAGTATTCAAAAATAAGGTACATCAAGAGACATGGGCTTTAATGTTCAGAGTTATCATGACCTATAAAATTTTACCCTCTTTAGGTTAGAAGCTCTAGAATATAATAGCTTACAGAAGAAATAATGGATTGACAGGTGTGTGGCAATTGCCACAAGAAAATCTTTTTTGACAGAAATGAACATAAAAGGAGAGAATTTTAAAATAATAGCCTGAGCTCAGCTCTTCTAACATAACAGACAGTTCTCATATTGGCCCTGTATATAGTGCCACAGAATAGACTTTAAATATATTTATGTCTAACTATACTAGATAATAGTTTATCTAGTTTAAAATTCTAGTCAGTGGTTAAAAATATTTTGAATGTAAGAATTGTCACTGAGAATACGCTCATTCAAATTCAGAATTCTTCATAGAAAATATATAATGGTTTAAACGGGGAAGATTTTTGTCGTTAGCAAACTTTTTAGTTTAAATCTACGGAACTGCATATTGGAGGACTCGGGGTGGGGGGGTGCCTGAGCAGACCCTGGAACCTCTGTCTATGGTAGCAAAGCACTAGGCATAGATTTTGAAATGTCTTTGGCTAAGAATCTGCACTTTTATGGATGATGAATAATTCATTCTAAAAAAGAAATCCTCTAGGTGAAAAAATATTTTTTGTTTCCATAATAGTTTCTGTGTACTCACTTATAGATAGTTAAGAATTTGTTGCGGTTTTAATCTTGAACAGTTTTTGGACACAAGACAAAATAGGTTTCCTGTGTGATGAAAAGCAAACCGTTACCCAGTTCAGTAGCTCTTCAACCTGTGTAGCTCAATAAAAGACTGGCATTTGTGCCTTTTAGAAATTGATTAAAGTTAGAGAACATTTTAAGAAATGTTTTATATGTGACTATTCAGAGCAGCATTTTAGAATGCTATAATTTTATTTCAACATGTTTGTATAATGAAGATTATATGTTACCTTATTTATGAACTGGCTTGTGACGATGTGTTGTAATAGTAAAATACTATGTATTTGTAACATGTTTTTGTGTAATGTATGTCACTGGATATTCAAAACAGCTCTGTAAAATGAGTAGAGCAGGTATTATTATCTCTATTTTACAAATGAAGGTGGTGCTCAGAGAGGCTAAAAATTTCCCTTAAAGTTGCAAAGCTAGACTGTGACCATTAGACTGCATTGATGTGCCTTTGAGATGAGCGTAATTCAGTTTTTTAGGCACAGACTGGCTTCGTCTGCGTTTTGTTCTCTTAATCATTGCTTTCAACAGAAAACCTTCACTGTAAGGCCGGAAAATGATTGTAAATATGTATAATAGAGATAAACATTTTTTCCTGTCAACAGTTACTGAGAGTAGGTGTCAACACGCTTTTCAGTTATAAGAACGTGATGACATCCTTATCAGCGCAACACTGGCTAAAAAGGCATCGTTAATTGTTATTAAAGTGTTTTTATTTTTCCAGGAGGACTAACAATACTGGAGAATTTAGGGAGATTTTTTTTTTATGCTTTATAGCTAACATTAAAGGTCTGGAACCAAGTGTATGTGTGCCTTTGCAGAGTGATGGGAAATGTTTTGGTTTGGACAATTTTAGTTCTTTTACTCAGGTTAACCTTACATAATTATAAAATTCTAGATTTGACTTAACAGGTTATAAACCAAGGCCATTTTATGAAATGTCTGTGAAATTGGCTATCTTGTTATCTTACAGGATGAAGAAACACGAAAAGATTATGACTACATGCTGGACCACCCAGAAGAATACTACAGCCATTACTATCACTACTACAGCAGGCGCTTAGCCCCGAAAGTGGATGTTAGAATCGTGATTTTGGTCAGTGTGTCCGCCATTTCACTGTTTCAGGTGTGTATTGATGGATATGCACGTCCACATGTATGTGCTTGAGTGCACATTGCCCGGTGCTAGTCATTAAAACTGAACTAGAAGTACCTTTTTGTAAAATTTTACTTCCGGTTGAGATTAATTTTTTTTTTTTTTACATTAGAAAAATATTCCTTTATTCAACTAATTGATAATATTGGACACCTTATCAGTGGGAATTCCAACTGATGATGAATGTCATGTAACTACCAAAAAACCTCCAACAATGGATCTTTTTCTCAATGCCTCCTTTAGAGTATGTATTTTTCATCTAACAGCCAGAGTGAATGTCAACCTGATCAGCTCATTCAGATTATTTACTTTCTTTTTGTTTTTTAGCTGAGCCATCCTGCCACCTGTTGTCAGCTCAGTGGCAGCTCAGCTCGGGCCGGGAATCGAACCGGCGACCCTGTTGCTCAGAGCTCTCACTCCTGAGCGAGGTCTTAACAAACTGAGCCACTCGGCCAGCCCAGATCATTTACTTTTGTAGAACTTTTCAATAATTTCCCATTAAACTTGGGAAAAATCTGAACTTCTTAATATGACCTAACAAATCTTGGCACCTATCTGCCAAATGCTAGTAGTGCCTGCCATCACTGTAACCACCAAAGATGTCCCACACACTTCCACATGCCTGCTCAGGGTGCTTTTGCTCGGGTTGAATACTACTGAAATGGGTTAAAAGGGCCACAACTTTTTATGTTGTTTTAAAATATCACAAAAATTTAACTTCAGCCTAAAATGAGTTTTTCCTACTATTATTCTTAAACTAACCACACCGATCATGTACTCCTTTAGAGGAAAAGAACATATCAAGTGATTAAAATGAAGCAATTTGCCAATTTAAAATTGCTTCTCCAGTTTAATTTCCAGAAATGAGATTCAATTTATATGACAAGAAGAATTTCTATTGAAAACTAAGGTTATATATTTTAAATGTATCAGCTTTTGTAGTACTATCCCTTCAAAGGGGAGAGCAGGGACAATTTTACTTTTTCGTTTTAGATAACACCTTAGTAACATTTTTTTTCTATTCCTAATAAATTACTACTATAAAATTTCAGAATATTTTTGGTGTAACTGCTATATTCATTCAGTAAAACAGCAAATGAAATGTGTGGAAATGTGAGGACTAGGACTTTTTCTGACAGTAAAACTCCTTGTGGTTGAATATATTTGTGGAATAAGTTAGATGTTTTCCTGTCCAAATAAGTAAAGAGTTCAAACCTTTGAATCTTTCAGTTCAGAATATGATGAGCATTAACTGTGGTATATGTAAATGGTTTAGGAAAGAGGTAGGAATGAATACAGTTGCCTGAGTCTATATCCTGTGATTTCTTAAAACAAATTCCTTACCAGCTAAGTTTTACCATTTAACTCTAGTAAGTAGACTGTAGTGAGAGAGAGAGAGAGAGAGAGAGAGAGAGAGAGAGAATTTCTTAATAGTGATCTAGGGAGGAGCCACATGCTAACTATGTGAAATCACAGGTGTATGATTCCATCAGTCTGTCCTCTGATCTTGGGTATCTCCCATCTGATTTAATGGCTTGTTGGCTCAGCTCAGGGCTTACCTGACTTACACAGCTTTGTACACAGAGGCATTATTCAGTTGCATCTGCTACAGAGTAAGATGATTGAGGTTCCTGTTTTTAATCAGAATGGGTTCCTGGAGGGTGGGGGTGGTGGTCACCAAGAGGAATTTTGATAATAAAAACGACTCATTTTTCTTTGTTAAATATTCTAGTTTTTCAGCTGGTGGAATAGCTACGACAAGGCCATCAGCTACCTGGCCACAGTGCCCAAGTACCGCATCCAAGCCATGGAGATCGCCAAGCAGCAGGGGCTGCTCAGAAAAGCCAAAGAGAAGGGCAGAAGCAAAAAGTCCAAAGAGGAAATTCGTGATGAGGAGGAGAACATTATAAAGAACATTATAAAAAGTAAAATAGACATAAAGGGAGGCTACCAGAAACCCCAGATACGCGATCTTCTCCTGTTTCAAATTCTCTTAGCTCCTGTTAACCTGTGCTCATATATAGTGTGGTATTGCCGGTGGATCTATAATTTTAATATCAAAGGCAAAGAATATGGGGAAGAAGAAAGACTGTATATCATACGTAAGTCTATGAAGATGTCAAAGTCTCAGTTTGATAGTCTAGAAGATCATCAGAAAGAAACTTTTCTTAAACGGGAGCTCTGGATAAAGGAGAATTATGAGGTGAGTAATTATCTGCTGTGACTTTAGTGTTACCTTCCTTACCAAGGGAAAATTAAGTGTATGACAAGGGATCACAGAAGTACATTCAAATTTCTGAAATCCAAGACCTAAATAATGAATACAGATCTTGCTTTTATTGAAAATATGACTGTATTTGGTAGTGGGACAGTGGGTTTTTAACCTGTAATTCTGTCTTTTTAAAAATGGGCCTCACCGGCC